GATGGATGGATGGATGGATGGATGGATGGATGGATGGATGGATGGATGGATGGATGGATGGATGGATGGATGGATGGATATGTCTGTGGTGGCCATCTTGAATCAGGCTGGTTCCAAAGTTTAATCAGTTGCAGATTTTTTATGATTCATTCCTGAATGGTTTCTTAAAACTTGTCCACTTGTTTATTCATAATTTTGCTAACAGGCAGTGTTGACTCTAACAGTTCATTGTAAACAATCTTATACAATTATTGATTTATTTACCGTTATTCAACCAGGAAGTCCCGTTGAGATAGCAGATCTCTTTTACAAGGGAGGCCTAGGCCTGAAGGCAACCATTATTGTACGTGTTTTTGGGGGTGGGGGAAACCGGAGTGCCCAGAGAAAACCCACACAAGCACAAGGAGAACAGGCAAACAAAAAAAAAAAAAAAAAAAAAAAAAAAAAACAGGTCCGAACCAGGATCTTCTTGCTGTGGGGCATCAGTGCTAATCACTGAGCCATCGTGCTGCCCAAACTGTTAACACTCAGAGCAGGTCAGGTATCAGTCTGACATACCACACCACACTTTTGCACAATATATGTAAAATATATGTACAATTGGCTGTTATAGACATTTTTTGGATTGTTTTTATCAGCTGTGTTCCAGCTGTGTTCCTTTCATGTCCTTTATTCTAACTACCAAGTGATTTAAAAACCTTTACGTTTTGTAGTTTTGTTGAAATCTTTCCACCGTCAGTGCAGTCCTACAGATTACGAATCATCCCATATTTGTTAAGCTGATGTCCTTGACCTTGAAAAGAAACTTTAATTTTCAATATTTCAAGCAAAATGATTTGTGTCCATTTACAGGTTGTATCAGAAAAATGATACTCTCAGAAAAATCACCATAAAATTAACAAAGACAATAATTTTGAAAATGTGGGTGTGACTTTTGATAGAGGGGATCATTCTGCTTCGAATGACACCAAAATCTTAGGAACGCTTCACGCTCCAGTGAGCAGGTACAGTTGGAAATTCACAAATTCATGTCCTTTGTGCAAGGAAATGTGAGGGTTAAAATACGATCTGTCACACAAAATTAAAAGCTCAGCTGGTGTTTTACATGCATGCCAAGGCGTTTTTAAAATAATTAACCCTTTCATGTCCTAACGTCGAAACAAAAATATCTCATTTCTGAGTGGATCATAACCAAGGGTTGACAAACACATGTGAAGTGGCCGTGGAGAAGTCAATCCAGCCAACTAACATTACATGTAATGTACTGTACATGTACATTACATGTATTCAGTGGGTATTACATGTAATTATTCCATAACCTGGTACAAGATCATGTGATCGTGTGTTCGTTTTCTTTCATTAAAACAACATGATCACAAACATCACCTTTTCGAATGCAGACAATTACATAATTCCTGGACATGAAACCTGTCAACAGCTGTGCTGTTGTCTCTCTTCCTGCCTGTGGTGTAAAATGGCCCGACCACAGTTCACCGCTCAGCAGAGGTCTTTCCTGGTTACTGAATACCTCCAAACGAAAAGTGTTCTCACTGTCCTTGAGCGGTTCCAACATGAGTTTCCAAATGTTAGGGTTCTCATGCTTGTCCAGCATGTTGCTCTTCGAAGAGGGTTCCGACTGCTTCAATGTTGGCTGGTGTGTGTTGGGTCCTTTGTTGGCCGGACCTCCTCTTGTTGAGATTGTGGCTGGTCCCAGAAGCACGGTACTTGTTAACGTTGTGGAAGACAGTGAGACGGCTCGGAACATTTGTTGCAATTGTCTGCATAAGATAAGGTTATGTTTGTAATCATGTTGTTTTAATGCTTGTTTCGACATTAGGAAATGAAAGGGTTGCATGGCATGCATGTAAAACACCAGCTAAACTTTTAATTTTATGTGACAGATCGTATTTTAACCCTCACATTTCCTTGCAGAAAGGACATGAATTTTGTGAATTTCCAACTGTCCCTGCTCACTGGAGTATGAAGCTTTAACTAAGATTTTGGTGTCATTGGAAGCAGAATGATCCCCTCTAACAAAGGTTACGCCCACATTTTCAAAATTATTATCTATGTCAAATTTATGGTGATTTTTCTGAGTGTATCATTTTTTTCTGATACACCCTGTAATTTTCTGAGAGAAAAAGCACTGAATAAAAGAAAATAGATCTCACATTACTACTAAATTCTTACTGTTAGGAGAGGGTAGGTCATTTAACAGCAATCATCTCTTAAAAAGCTGCCTGGCACACTTAAAATGTAACTTCCTAATGTTCACAAAGCAGAAACAGACACGGGTTACTGAATCAGTTTCAAGTATCTGTTTGCAATGCAGTTAACTGAAACACAATGATAAATCTGAGAGAGAGAGAAAAACACATCTCGTGGGACCTGATCTTTGGATTGCTAAAAAGTCAAGTCACAGCCTGCATCTGAAGGCGAAAACTGTTCCAACGTTAAAAACGGCTGTGTGGTGTTTTTCAGTTCAGTGAGACCTACCATCATGTAAGAGTCATCAGAACAACAACAGAAACATTTCTGTGTCCTTATCTCAAAGTTCACTAGAAAAAAGTTTG